GGCTGCCTCCCCCAGAACATGGCAGCCCTGCAGAGCCCTGGGGAGCCGTGAGCTGCGCCAGGCTGGGCACAGCGCTGACAGCCCAGCGCGGGGTGTAATTAAAACTATTTATCATCCTGCTGCCGCAGCGGGACCATCGATCCCGGCAGCCCGGCTCTGAGGGCTCCTCTGGGAGGATGGAGCAGGGTATGGCCCAGGTCCCTGGGGCTCCAGCTCGTGTCTGGTGTCCAGGGAACACCTGTGCCACTGGCCATTGCACCTGCCTGCTGGCTGCCGGGGAATGACTCTGCCTGTGTGGTCACTCCTGCTGCTCTGCATCTTGCTCAGTGCTGGAGCAGGGCCCGTGGCTATCCTGGCTCCAGTCTGCCCTCTGGGATACCTGGCAGGGCTGAGGGTGTCACTGGGGTCTGGCTGGGACCCACTTTTGCTCTCTCTGACAGCGGGTGGCTCCTACTACATGATCTCACGCTCGCTGGGACCCGAGTTTGGTGGGGCTGTGGGGCTCTGCTTCTACCTGGGCACCACCTTTGCGGGTGCCATGTACATCCTGGGCACCATCGAGATCCTGCTGGTACGTACCTGCTCCTTGCCTTGTGCAGTGCCGTGGGCTCAGCTCCTGGCAGGGCAGGGGGCCTGAAGGACCTTTCTCCTGGGGCCCCTTTGCAGGCTGTTAGCCAGGTGGTGATGCCATGACTCTTTCCCAGGCCTACATCTTCCCAGCCATGGCCATCTTCAAGGCAGAGGATGCCAGCGGGGAGGCAGCTGCAATGCTCAACAACATGCGTGTGTATGGCACCTGTGTGCTGACCTGCATGGCCACCGTGGTGTTCGTGGGTGTCAAGTATGTCAACAAATTCGCCCTGGTCTTCCTGGGCTGTGTCATCCTGTCCATCCTTGCCATCTATGCTGGAGTCATCAAATCTGCCTTTGACCCACCAAGCTTCCCGTGAGTACGGGGTCCTGCAGGGATGCAGCAGGGCTGGGGCATGCAGATGCTGAGTGCCCTTGTGCCCCCAGGATCTGCCTCCTGGGCAACAGGACCCTCTCACGCCACGGCTTCGACCTCTGCACCAAGATGGTGGTGGAGGGGAACGAGACAGTTGGCTCCAAGCTCTGGGAGCTTTTCTGCACCTCCCGTTTCCTCAATGCCACCTGTGATGAGTACTTCACCATGAACAACGTCACTGAGATTGAGGGCATCCCTGGTGCTGCCAGTGGCCTCATCCAAGGTGAGCATGTGCCAACAGAGGCATGGGAACGTGGGCACGGGCATGAAGGCATGGGAATGGCAGCATGGAAAAACAAGGGAGCTGTGGAGGGGCAGTGGCTGTGCCTGCTGGGCAACTCTGCCAACAGGGATGGTGGGTGTGCTGTGGGAGTCATAGCTCCTCAGCCATTCCAGGTGTTGTGGGGGCAAACAGGGCTGGGTCCAGGTGAGAGAGCATGGGGGAGATCCCTGCTGGGGGCTGCTCTGCTCCTGAGGCACAGGGAGCTGTGCTCATGCTGTGCTGGGCAGTGGGACACTCCTGCACTGGGTGACAGAGCAGGGCACTGCAGCCACCTGCCTGCAGTCTGTGTCAGTCAGTGGGGTGGCTCAGAATGAGGCCCGAAGGCTGGGGAGGAATAAATCTTCCTCTGCTTCCTCTTGGCCTTTGGAAAGGCTGGTATTGATTTGAGGTTTTGAGCGAAGTGATCACCCCTTGGGGCCATTTAGCTCCTGTGGCTACAGCCCTGCTGGGAGAGTGGCCAGGACCACAGAAAGATGTGTGAATTTGTTGGGAGGAGCCACTTATGACCTGTTTTTGTGGAGATGCTGGTGTATCTGCTAGGTGCTCACGCTCTGCAGTGGGTGGCAGAGGCTGGTGCTCTGTGCCACATTCAGAGGGTGTCTGCAGACCCTAATGCTGGAGTGGTTGTTGGGACTTAGGAAAGCAGCAGAGCCACAAGCAGGATCAGTCATTCCTGATGGCTGCAGGGCTGCCCCAGCCATCCTGCCCTGGTGTCTGCGTGGCCACGGGCACGGGAGGTCAGACTTAGCTGAGCACGTGGTGCTCAGGGCTGCAGCTGTGATTGATGGTGATTAGTGCAGTCACAGGGTGTTTGGGAGCCTCCCGGTGATGTTGCACTCTGAGGTCCTTTGGGTCAGATAAGGAGTTCCTGGCTGCTGGGTGGAACCTGCTCCTGTTGGCAATGGTGTTGGGGAGGGGGTGCAGACCCCCACCCACCCAGCTGGTCTCTCTCAGGCAGCAAACCCTCCTGCACTGGGGGCAGTGGGACAGAGCCAGGACCCCACTCTGGGGTGGCTGGTGACAAAGGTGACCGGCCCAGCAGCATCATAAGATGGGTGGCACAGTTTGACCCTGGCAGAGGTGACTGGGGCTTGCTGTGCCCTAGGTGAGGGTGGGGAGAAACACAACATTTCAGGGAGCATGAGACAGGCGAGGCCAATAGGAGCTGCCGGCCCCATCTGTCACCTGTGAGCAGCCGTGAAGGGGGCTCAGGGCCGGGGCTGAGGGCTGGCTGCTCCTCTCTGCCCCCCCAGCAGTGACATGCCAAGGGCAGTTGCCTCTGCCTGCCCTGCCCGGTGCTGGCTGCTCTCCACTGCTCCAGTTTCTCCCCATGATCTGCGGCCAAAGCAGCACACGGAGGGACACTAAGCCTGTTACATCAGCCCCGCACTCATAATCCCATCAAAAACATTATCAAGTTACTTTGACACGATCCACTTCCCTTAAACCTGTGTTGATCAGCATTAATTATATTACCCTCTTAATTATTTGCTACTGCAATCCCATGTCAGCTGCTCCAGTATCTTGTGGGGACGCTGCCAACAGCAGTATGAACCTGCTCTGGTTGCCCACCTGTGCCGCCATCCTCACCCTCTGCATGCCCGTGTGCTGCTCAGCTGGCTGCTCAGTGGGGCCGGGGAAGGGCTGGGAGAACCACACACCCCCCAGTTCCATTTCTGTGGGGTGGGGATGCTGTGCTGGGTGTGGGGGCTTGCATCTGCACTGCCCTGCCTCCTTCTTCCTCACAGAGAACCTCTGGAGCTCATACCTGACCAAGGGCGTGATCGTGGAGAAGCGGGGGCTGCCCTCGGTGAGCTCCCCCGACACGCCGGTGGACATGGACCAGCCCTACGTCTTCAGCGACATGACGTCCTACTTCACCCTGCTCGTGGGCATCTACTTCCCCTCGGTGACAGGTGGGAGCCGCTCCGTGCCGCGGGCACAGCA